GGGCACTCGACGGAGGAGTGGCCCTTCACCACCATGAAAATAGTTTTGAAGTAGGTCCAGGAGGTTCCTACTGATTCCGAAGCTCCTTAGTTTGCTGATGATGTCACGGTGCCACACCCTGTCGAACGCACCGGCGATGTCTAGTGCGATCAAATAAGTGTCTTGGCCGTCATCTAAGGCTTGACTCCATGACGATGACTGGACGAGAAGTAGGTCAGAGGCTGATCTTTCTGCCCGAAAGCCAAACTGTTCGTCAATACTTGAGTAGATTTCCATAAAAAGCCATAAAAAATCGTTACGCATGGTGCTAGCCCGGTGTAGTGAAAATTGGCTTGTATTATATCATACCGATATGTATGTGTAACTAGGCGCACTTTCCCCAGTAATCACGCCGAAAATAAGAGAGAAGGAGAGAGAGAGAGAGAGAGAAAAGGAGAGTGAGAGAGAAGGAGAGAAAGAGAGAAGGAGAGAAAGAGAGAAGGGGAGAGAGAGAGAGATAGAGAAGGAGAGAGAGATAGGGAGAGAAGGAGAGAGAAACTCTACGGGCCGTGTTCTCGAAGATTATGATTACGCATAAAAGAAAAACAAACATAAAATCCTGTGTCTGCGCGCTTCTCGTGGGTCTTTGGGAGAAAAAATGCGTATAGACAGGGAAATTACATCTACATGCTCAGAATTCTAAGTTTTATCAAAAAAAAAGAAAAAAAAGGACTTCTTGAAGATGATGAGAGGATCGTAAAAAAAAAAAAACGATTGAGTAAAAGGTATATATGTATATATATGTATATATATATGCATATATATATATATATATATATATATATATATATATATATATAGACATGTTTTCAATATACAGGCATATTTTCATGCATACAGATCAAATATTAAGTCCGCTGCAACGAAAATAGCAAATGACGTCATAACACTGTGAAGAATGTCTACACATATAAATACACAACAACCTAATACATTATTTGCTTATCAAGTTTCATTTAATCGATTTAGTGATTGTTTAACGAATATTTTTCGTTAAATTAGCAGTCTCCCCTTAACAATTATTATTATCATTATTATTTTTGTTATTATCACCGTTTTTTTACTATTTTCAACAGTATGTGAAACGTGCCATATGCTATCCTTATGATTTTCTTCTTCTTTTCTTTTCTTTTTTAATTCACTTTTTAAAATTTTTCATTTCTCAGGCTCAGTACGAATTATTTGATGATTACGTTCTGAAAAGAGTATAGAAAAATTAAGATAAATGTATATAAGCACTTCACATGCTGATGAATAAAAGGGATCTGTTGACAACTGCCACGCAACATTGCTCTGTGTAAGTAGCCTGAGTAAAGTAGTCTAAGTAGCCTGTGCAAAGTAGTCTAAGTAATCCTGTGCAAAGTAGTCTAAGTAATCCTGTGTAAAGTAGTCTAAGTAGTCTGCGCAAAGTAGTCTAAGTAATCCTGTGTAAAGTAGTCTAAGTAGCCTGTGTAACGTAGTCTAAGTAGTCTGCGCAAAGTAGTCTAAGTAATCCTGTGTAAAGTAGTCTAAGTAGCCTGCGCAAAGTAGTTTAAGTAGCCTGTGCAAAGTAGTCTAAGTAGCCTGCGCAAAGTAGTCTAAGTAGCCTGTGTAAAGTAGTCCAAATAGCCTGTGCAAAGTAGTCTAAGTAATCCTGGGTAAAGTAGTCTAAGTAATCCTGTGTAAAGTAGTCTAAGTAGTCTAAGTAGCCTGTGTAAAGTAGTCTAAGTAGCCTGTGCAAAGTAGTCTAAGTAGCCTGTGTAAAGTAGTCTAAGTAATCCTGTGCAAAGTAGTCTAAGTAATCCTGTGCAAAGTAGTCTAAGTAATCCTGTGTAAAGTAGTCTAAGTAATCCTGTGTAAAGTAGTCTCAGTAGCCTGTGCAAAGTAGTCTAAGTAATCCTGTGTAAAGTAGTCTAAGTAATCCTGTGTAAAGTAGTCTCAGTAGCCTGTGCAAAGTAGTCTAAGTAATCCTGTGCAAAGTAGTCTAAGTAGTCTGTGTAAAGTAGTCTAAGTAGCCTGTGTAAAGTAGTCTAAGTAATCCTGTGTAAAGTAGTCTAAGTAGCCTGTGCAAAGTAGTCTAAGTAGCCTGTGTAAAGTAGTCTAAGTAGCCTGTGTAAAGTAGTCTAAGTAGCCTGTGTAAAGTAGTCTAAGTAGCCTGTGTAAAGTAGTCTAAGTAATCCTGTGTAAAGTAGTCTAAGAGTCTGTGTAAAGTAGTCTACGAAGCTTGCGTGTAAGTAGTCTGTGCCATAACCTATGCAGTTTGTGTGTAAGTAGCATATGCTTAAGTAGTTTATGTGTAAGTATTCTGTTTTATAGCCTCCTTGTTGAATACAATAATTATGATAATAATTTTAGCATAATAATAATGATAATAATTAGATGTAAAATTCATATCAAGTAGAATGGAAAATATATATAACATATAGGAGTATGAAAGTAATCGATAAATTAACAAGACAATGGTTAAATACGTAGTTTGTATAGATAAATACCTGAATTGGTAGGAAACCGAGAAAGTGGAAGAAGTGATAAAACTTAATAGAAAATAAGGATAAGGACAAGTAGGAGTCGTGCATGAATTTCCCTTTTCTTCATTTCATTTTTCCGAAATTTTCCGTTTTTTCTCCTTCCCAGGTTATCTCAAGATGCTGCTCCATCTACTTCCGATGTTAACCTGTTCTCTGTTCGTAGGTATGGGCTGCCTCTAAAAACAACTGTTTTCCAGATGTATGTTTATGAATTGTTTCAACAAAAGTCAAGGTTATTATGAGGATATTTGGCGTGTCCGTGTCCATGTCACAACAAATAGTTAATCGCATGAAGTTCATAATACAAGTTATGAAAATCAACATAAACGTTGCATGCTTCGCACATTTCACAGGGGAAGCACACGGCCGAGTCACTTGGAATCGAACCGACGTGACTCTGGCTTCGCAAGACTGCCCCGGAGGCTACTCCCTCGTGGGCGACAAATGCCTCATGTTCGTAACCTTCGCTGCTGAACCCTATCAGGGAGCCAGATATTTCTGCCATACAGCGAAAGGGGAGCTGGCTGCCATCACCACGGCCACGGACTTCAAGAATTTAGTCGATTACATCCACGCCAACGGTGGGAACAACATCATAATGTATTGGGTGTAAATTCATGAATACGGTCGACCGTTGTGGTACTGAATCCGTTGTTTTCTCTTGGCCTTTTAAATGTCTATTGTAGTATCATTCTATCCGTTCTGCTAATCTAAGCTAATTTAATCTTAATTGCTTTAAAGGTTTCTTCGGCCGAACTTTCTGGGTGGACGGAACAGACGAAGCAGAAGAGGGCGTTTGGGTGACGTCGTCAGGAGATGCCGTGCCCTTAGGAACCCCCTTCTGGGCCGCTTTTGAGAACAAACAGCAACCCGATAACGCCCTCGGGAATGAACACTGTCTATCCATTCCATCGGCTTGGTTTCTCTATATGAATGACGTTTCTTGTTCTGACACAAAACACTTCATATGTGAAGCCACCTTCCAAAGGCAGGGGGGTGAGTGTGGATTTCCTTAAGAATTTCCTAATGAGTTAATTAACTAAATAGAAAAAAATATATATATCTTTATAAATACATGTGTGAAACAGACAATATATAAATGTTATTTAGTATATAAATAAATTCATTCATATATATACATATTTATATATACAATATGTATATATATATGTGTATGTGTATACATACATGAAAATATGTGTATATGTGTCTGTTTCTGTATGTATGAACATATATATATGTATCACTATATATGTGTAAATATATGTGTGTATGTATGTATATATGTGTATATATACATATATACGTATATATATATATGAATATGTGTATATATACATACATATATATACATATATGTATAAATATGAATATATATGCGTATATATGCATGTACGTGTGTGTATATATGGATACACATATATATACATATATATATGAATATTTATAGTTTATATATGTATATATGTAAATATATGTGTACATATATGTGTAAATACATGGATAAAAAGCTAGATATATAGATGTATTTATGTATATATACATATATATAAATACAAACACATGTATCTACATACATATAAAAGTAAACACCACAGGTACTGTATGTATATATAAATGTGTATATATGTATATATACATATACGCATGTAATATATACATATTGACAAACTGTATGTACATAAATATTGCAGATTATGTAGACATAACTAGACAGATACAGCGTAAAAAAGACATGCAGGAGATTGAATATCTTCACAATGCAAGAGATGCATTTGGCCTTTTTTATTATATCGCTTGCACTGTGAAGATGTTATTTTCATTTACACATTTCCTACTTAAATCGCAATGACCGCGGCTCAAACAGCGCTCTTTCCCTCGTGTCCCCCAGAGGTCGCAAGCGCAGCGCTGGTTCCCGTCGGCCCGTCGGCGGTGGGCGGCCGCGTCACGTGCCCCATCCTCTTCGTGGAGGTGGGAGGCCTGTGCCTGATGTTCGTCACGTGGGCGGAGCAGACCTGGGGCGAGGCTCGGCAGATGTGTGCGGGAGCCTCCGGCGACCTCTTGGCCATCACCGATGTTGAAGTGTTGCGAGCTGTGTACCTCTACATACACGCACATGGTAGGTCACTCTATATACCTTTCAGAAGATGTCATGCGCGTCCAACGATTACCTAAAAAATAAAGCGTTTCTTAAATGTTCTCTTAATTTAAATTTTCATCTATAGCATAAACTTCGATATGTTCACGTTAATGCATTACAACCACCAGATTGTAGATCAAAGTTAAAAGTAATATATGTTAGTGATAATCATGCAAGATAGCCTTCTCAAATGTTGGGGTTTGAATAGGTTTGTATTTTCCAAACTTGAATATAACATTACTTTCTTATCACTGACATATACTGCTTTCAATACCCTTAAATAGCCCAGAGACTGTGATGGATTGTCATTTGTTATTTTCCCTGAGTCTGGAAACAATATAGTGAATTCTTGTTCAGGTTTATCTGGCAACACTTTCTGGCTTGGAGGATCCGATCTGGAGAGTGAAGGAACTTGGGTCTACACCACAGGGGAGCCTGTGCCCATGGGTAAGTTTATCCTATTGTTTCTTGCGTGTTTCCTTTTTTTTCAAACTTTATCTACCTCTTTTTTCAAACCTTGATGTGATTAATATTTCTTTCAGAGCTTTATCTAGATCAAAGTGAAACCCTTTAAATATTTTGTATGGAAATTGACATCAATTCTTTAATATCGGCATGTTTCAGGCACCCCTTTCTGGGGTCTTTCTGACATGAGTGCTCCGTCCCAGGAACCCAACGGAGGAACCAGGGAGAACTGCCTCGCGATCGGTAATTTTTACAATTTCAGGGATTATTCATGTGGCTCAAAGTTCTACCCACTGTGTATCTACAGGGGATGAGCAAATGACATGGGAAACGTACAAGAAAAAAAAAATGTTGAAACAGTAATAACAAAAAGAAAAACAAAATGATAGTAACATGAAGCAGAATAAAATACTTTTGTCTTGTAAGCGTTCTTTCAATATATTGGTGACTAATAAAAGGTGCAATTATATATACTTTTCTTTATTTCCTTTTTGTCTCGTCCCAGTTCACCACACACACACACACAATTCATGTAACACGTAAAAGTATTTTCTACGCTTACCAAACCATGCTTTAGAGTTAGCAGGATGCAGTTATACAAATATACGGCTACACTGAGACAAGTGGTTTCTTTTATAACTTAAATATATTTGCTTATCTACTTTACTCACTTCTCCCTTTTTAATGATGTCCTTTGAACTTCAGGCGTTTCATAGCATCGTAACTAGATATATGTAATTTAACTTGAAGATATAGAATATAAATGATATCAGAATATTGACAAAAACTGGTTGTCTAATAAAACAAATTCTCATACATTTGCAAATAAAGTAGAAAGAAAAGAAAAATTACTTTCTACAAATAAAAATTTAAATAACATCCAGCAAAAATAAGGACACGAGAATGATATCACATGAACTCCACACTAATGAATTTAATCTATGCAACAAAAAGCGAAATACAACTACTAGATTATCTGAACTCCAAACAAAAGACTGATAACATACAATATAAATTAGGACACAAGAATTAAATCATGTATTCTACAATTTTTTTTTATTATAAGTATATAATAATAATGATAATATATGAATCAATAAATCATTACAGGCAACAAAAACGGGAGAAAATAACTAAATTATCTGGTGTACGCACAAATAAAAATCTTAATAACATTCAGGTAAGAAGACAAGAACATAATTATCCAATTATAGTTACCTAATTATATGCTAAAAAATGGACGTTCTGGAAAGGCTTCTCTTAAGATTGCAAAAGTAGACACTGATGACTTTAAAACTACTAAATAGCGTAGTTTTAATTTACGAAATAAAGACTTTGCCTTTCAAATTTTGGGGGAAAATGTTGTTAGTGGCAGAAGAGATAAGTTCAGCCTCGTTTATATAAATCGTTTGAAAATACAGACATATCTAAAGCTATATCAAAAACCAAATTATGCAGACCCTCAAATAATGAAACACAAAATATGGTGTTTCAAAGGGCCGAGTTTATTCTCATAAAAAAGAGAGAAAAAAGAAGAAAAAAGGAAAAAAAATAGTTTGAGCCTACGGACAAATATCTTCCAGTATTCAAGAACAGCATTGTGATTCTTAGAATAACAAATATTATTGACGTTTCTCAATAAACAAAAATGTTATGACCTTTCTAAATCGGGGAAAAGTTAGTAGATAGATGAATATATAGAAAGCTAGATAGTGTATGTATATAGTATGGATGTGTGTTTAGATAGATAAATTTAGATATTCAGACATAGATGATTGACAGATGAATATCAGATATATAACAGATAAATGGTAGATAGATAATGGATGAAGGTAAATATAGCAAGTAGATAGAAGGTAGTGAGATAGACGGAGAGATAAGTAGCAGAAAGGCAGTAGAAAGAGATACTTGCGTAGATGAATAGATAAGTATGACATGCATAGATAAATTTCACAAGAAATGAAATCAAACCGTGACGTTTGTAACTTGTCAAGAGTTCTTCATCAAACGGATGAAATAACCGGATATGATCCACTTCAGTTATTTTATCATGTCTGATAAGAACATCCTGACTAGTTGAAAAAGTCACGATTCAATATCATTTTTTATTGAGGTGGTTTTCCAATTCATTTATGTGTGTATAATTATGTACACAGTATATATATGTATATATACTCAGTACATATATGTATATATACACAGTATATATATATGTATACATACACAGTATATATGTGTATATATATACAGTATATAAATTGAATATATATATAGGCTGTATATATATATATATATATATGCTGTATATATATATATATATATATATATACATATATACATTATATATAT